TGGTTTAATTTTGAGTTAATGCTTACAAAACAAATTCTGGGTTAAGATTTTTCCGACTGTTATAAGTGTGTTTTTGTTTAAGTTATTCTTTATAGAACTATAACAGTTATATGATTTGTAAATCTCACCTATATCTCCCTACCTTGATTATATTTAATACTAACCAATGGGAAACATTTTGTTATCTCCTACAATTTTTACAAAGCAATGCACTTTTGAAATATTTTCAATTTTTATATATAAGACAAAGAACATAGTGATTAGTATAAAAACAGAGCTAACTGTTCCTTATTATCAATTGTATTTGAGACCCGTTCGGCTAATCACCTCACATCATGAAAGTAATAATATTTGTTTCGCTAAGCATCATTCTTACTAAGGTATGAACATAAACATTATATGTACTCATATTTTAATTAAATTTATTCTTCAATGTCCTTTTACAGGCCCTGGCCGATGATACTCACGATTGGTATCCCAAAGATCCTGTTGCGGTACAGCAGAAATGTCGCGAAGCACACCCATTAAGTGAAGAATCACGTTCGGATCTCGAAAAGGGTCAAGTCCACAATCATCCAGATTTGGTAGCACTGTTTGTTTGTACTGCAAAAGCTATGAATTTCTATACTACCGAAAAAGGATTCGATGCGGAGAGAGTGGTGTATGCTTTAGAGAAAATTAATCGTTTACACAATCGCCAAGCAGTCGAGGAATGTGTAAAAAATAATGAAAATGTTGAAACCGAAAATGAAAAGGTTTTTAGTGTCGCCAAGTGTATTGAAGACAAAAATGACCCGGTGGCAAAAGATTGAAAGTCGTGATGTTTTTTGAGAACTAAATTGATAAAAAAATGTAATGAGATTTGAAAAAAGTAAAAAATGTGCTTTATTTCATAGATTGTTGAAAAAAAATTAGGAGGGATTCTTTATCGACGACCTGAAGAGAGTCCTTATACACGAGCTGAAGTAGTGCGTTTTTATGGAGGCAGTATTTATTAATGGGTTGAAACAGAGAGACTCTATAGGCAAGTCGAAGCAATGTTAACTAAATCGGACAGTCTTCTTAGAGGAGTTAAAGCTGGGTGTCTTCATAGTCGAGATGAAGCAGGGAGTCTGTACAGACCAGCTGAAGCTGCGAGTCTTTCATAGACGATCTGAAGCATGGAGCCTTTCATAGACGAGCTGAAGCAGGGAGTCTTTCATAGACGAGCTGAAGCAGGGAGTCTTTCATAGACGAGCTGAAGCAGGGAGTCTTTCATAGACGAGCTGAAGCAGGGAGTCTTTCATAGACGAGCTGAAGCAGGGAGTCTTTCAGAGACGAGCTGAAGCAGGGAGTCTTTCAGAGACGAGCTGAAGCTGGGAGTCTTTCATAGACGAGCTGAAGCTGGGAGTCTTTATAGACGAGCTGAAGCAGGGAGTCTTTATAGACGAGCTGAAGCAGGGAGTCTTTATAGACGAGCTGAAGCAGGGAGTCTTTATAGACGAGCTGAAGCAGGGAGTCTTTATAGACGAGCTGAAGCAGGGAGTCTTTATAGACGAGCTGAAGTAGGGAGTCTTTATAGACGAGCTGAAGCAGGGAGTCTTTATAGACGAGCTGAAGCAGGGAGTCTTTATAGACGAGCTGAAGCAGGGAGTCTTTATAGACGAGCTGAAGCAGGGAGTCTTTATAGACGAGCTGAAGCAGGGAGTCTTTATAGACGAGCTGAAGCAGGGAGTCTTTATAGACGAGCTGAAGCAGGGAGTCTTTATAGACGAGCTGAAGCAAAAAGTCTTTATAGACGAGCTGAAGCAGGGAGTTTTTATAGACGAGCTGAAGCAGGGAGTTTTTATAGACGAGCTGAATGTAGTCTTTTTAGGTGATGTATGGACGAGCTGAAGCAGGGAGTCTTTACAGACGAGCTGAAGCAGGGTGTCTTTCATAGACGAGCTGAAGCAGGGAGTCTTTCATAGACGAGCTGAAGCAGGGAGTCTTTCATAGACGAGCTGAAGCAGGGAGTCTTTCATAGACGAGCTGAAGCAGGGAGTCTTTCATAGACGAGCTGAAGCAGGGAGTCTTTCATAGACGAGCTGAAGCAGGGAGTCTTTCATAGACGAGCTGAAGCAGGGAGTCTTTCATAGACGAGCTGAAGCAGGGAGTCTTTCATAGACGAGCTGAAGCAGGGAGTCTTTCATAGACGAGCTGAAGCAGGGAGTCTTAATAGACGAGCTGAAGCAGGGAGTCTTTCATAGACGAGCTGAAGCTGGGAGTCTTTCATAGACGAGCTGAAGCTGGGAGTCTTTCATAGACGAGCTGAAGCTGGGAGTCTTTCATAGACGAACTGAAGCAGGGAGTCTTTCATAGACGAGCTGAAGCAGGGAGTCTTTCATAGACGAGCTGAAGCAGGGAGTCTTTCTTAGACGAGCTGAAGCAGGGAGTCTTTCATAGACGAGCTGAAGCAGGGAGTCTTTCATAGACGAGCTGAAGCAGGGAGTCTTTCATAGACGAGCTGAAGCAGGGAGTCTTTCATAGACGAGCTGAAGCAGGGAGTCTTTCATAGACGAGCTGAAGCAGGGAGTCTTTCATAGACGAGCTGAAGCAGGGAGTCTTTCATAGACGAGCTGAAGCAAAGGGGTCTTACATAGACGAGCTGAAGCAGGGAGTCTTGATAGTCGAGCTGAAGCAGGGAGTCTTGATAGTCGAGCTGAAGCAGGGAGTCTTTCATAGAAGAGCTGAAGCAGGGAGTCTTTCATAGACGAGCTGAAGCAGGGAGTCTTTCATAGACGAGCTGAAGCAGGGAGTCTTTCATAGACGAGCTGAAGCAGGGAGTCTTTCATAGACGAGTTGAAGCAGGGAGTCCTTCATAGACGAGTTGAAGCAGGGAGTCTTGATAGTCGAGCTGAAGCAGGGAGTCTTTCATAGAAGAGCTGAAGCAGGGAGTCTTTCATAGACGAGTTGAAGCAGGGAGTCCTTCATAGACGAGCTTAAGCAGGGAGTCTTTCATAGACGAGCTGAAGCAAGGGGGTCTTACATAGACGAGCTGAAGCAGGGAGTCTTGATAGTCGAGCTGAAGCAGGGAGTCTTGATAGTCGAGCTGAAGCAGGGAGTCTTTCATAGACGAGCTGAAGCAGGGAGTCTTTCATAGACGAGCTGAAGCAGGGAGTCTTTCATAGACGAGCTGAAGCAGGGAGTCTTTCATAGACGAGCTGAAGCAGGGAGTCTTTCATAGACGAGCTGAAGCAGGGAGTCTTTCATAGACGAGCTGAAGCAGGGAGTCTTTCATAGACGAGCTGAAGCAGGGAGTCTTTCATAGACGAGCTGAAGCAGGAAGTCTTTCATAGACGAGCTGAAGCAGGGAGTCTTTCATAGACGAGCTGAAGCAGGGAGTCTTTCATAGACGAGCTGAAGCAGGGAGTCTTGATAGTCGAGCTGAAGCAGGGAGTCTTTCATAGACGAGCTGAAGCAGGGAGTCTTTCAGAGACGAGCAGAAGCAGGGAGTCTTTCATAGACGAGCAGAAGCAGGGAGTCTTTCATAGACGAGCTGAAGCAGGGAGTCTTTCATAGACGAGCTGAAGCAGGGAGTCTTAATAGACGAGCTGAAGCAGGGAGTCTTAATAGACGAGCTGAAGCAGGGAGTCTTAATAGACGAGCTGAAGACGGAATCTTTATAGAAGAGCTGAAGCAGGGAGTCTTTCATAGACGAGCTGAAGCAGGGAGCCTTTCATTGACGAGCTGAAGCAGGGAGTCTTTCATAGACGAGCTGAAGCAGGGAGCCTTTCATTGACGAGCTGAAGCAGGGAGTCTTTTATAGACGAGCTGAAGCTGAAGGAGGGAGTCTTTCATAGACGAGTTGAAGCTGAAGGATGGAGTCTTTCATAGACGATCTGAAGCAGGGAGTCTTTTATAGACGAGCTGAAGCAGGAAGTCTTTCATAGACGAGCTGAAGCAGGGAGTCTTTCATAGACGAGCTGAAGCAGGGAGTCTTTCATAGACGAGCTGAAGCAGGGAGTCTTTCATAGACGAACTGAAGCAGGGAGTCATTCATAGACGAACTGAAGCAGGGAGTCATTCATAGACGAACTGAAGCAGGGAGTCATTCATAGACGATTTGAAGCAGGGTGAACGGAGTCTTTCATAGACGAGCTGAAGGGAGTCTTTATAGTCAAGATGAAGCAGGAGTCGTTATAAACAAGCTGAAGAGAGTTTTTCATAGACGAGCTGAAGACGAATGGAGTTATTATGCCCGAACTGAAGGGAGGCTCTATAGACGAGCTGAAGGGAGTATTTATGGACGAGGTGAAGGTAGTCAATCATAGTCGAGCTGAAGGGAGAACTCATATACGAACTGAAGGGAGTTTTTCAAAGACGAGCTAGAGTTAGTCATTCATAGACGAGTGAAGGAAGTCTTTCATAGACGAGCTGAAGAGAGTCAATATAGACGTGGTAATGGAAGTCTTTATAGACGAACTGAAGGGAGTCTTTATAAACGAGCTGAAGGGAGTCTTTATGGACTAGCAAAAACAGGGACTAGCTAAAAATAACCTTTATAGACCAGCTGATGCAGAGAGTATATATAGACTAGCTAGTCAAAATATGGACCGCCTATGTAGACAAACGTAGGGAAGTCTTGATGGGTGAATTGAAAGGTCTCTTTATGGACTCCACGCTTATCGATTTATATTTTAATATTATGTTTAGATCTTTTTTTCTGCAGTTCATTTGTTGTCGTAATTGTGGTTTTTCTATTTTTCTAAATGCGGTTTTCCGTGTAAACTAGCGTTTATATGTTATGCGACGAATCGACTGATAAGAATTGTTTTTATTATTGCATTATACATATGTAAATATTATTTTAGATCAAAGATCGCCAATATAAATATGATTGCCGGTATTAGCTTGCGATTATTTGCATTTTATTTGTCTTGAAAATTACATGCAATGCATCAAGTTATTCTGCTATCAGTTGCTGCATGCATTTTAATGCAGGTATTTATTGTATTATTCTAATAAGAAAATTTCCATTAATGGTGTTCAATTTCTCCCCCTATGGAAAATCCCATAAGGTCCATGGTGTCAAAGACGATTGGTACCCCGAAAGAGCCTACAGTACCCTACAAAAGTGTAAGGATCAACATCCATTGCCCGAAGCCGTTCTGGAAGATATAGATAATGGCCGCATGGAAGATAGTCCAACGTTAAGACAACTTATTTTATGTGCCTCGAAAGCATTTAATGTTTATACCACCGAACATGGTTATAATGCGGATCGATTGGCTCATGCACTCTATCGAATCGGAATGAATCGTACATGTCGTCGTCAGGTGGCTAACGAATGTGTTACGAAATATAAGGATGTTAAACCGGAAGATGAAATGGCCTTCAACATTATTAAATGTATCATAGATAAGGAAGTTAGCCCTGAAGTGGTTGAGAGGGATGGTCCACCATCGGAATGGAAAGGTTGTGATATAAGAGCGTGAGAAATTTTGTATAATTTAATAAGAATGATAATAAATTTAAAAACTTTAAAAAAACATAGATTTCTCCGGTAGACTGATATAAGAGCTAAAGCAAGGAGTCTCTATAGAGGACCTGAATCAAGTAGTCTTTATAGAAGAGGTCAAGCAGTGAATCTGTATAGACTATATGCAAGTGGAAAAAGTGCTGAAGAAGGGAATCCTTATAGACGAGTTGATGTAGGGATTCGTTATACACGAGCTGAAGAGAGTCTCTATAAACCAGCTGAAGCAGGGAATCCTTTTTTAGTTATCTTCATAGACTAACTGAAGCTGAAACAAGGTGTCGTTATAGACGAGCTGAAGGGAGTCTTTATAGACAAGCTGAAGGGAATCTTTATAGACGAGCTGAAGCAGGGAGTCTTTATAGGCGAGCTGAAGCAGGGAGTCTTATAGGCGAGCTGAAGCAGGGAGTCTTTATAGGCGAGCTGAAGCAGGGAGTCTTTATAGACGAGCTGAAGCAGGGATGTGAAGTAGGGAGTGAGACGAGCTGAATCATGTAGTCTTTATAGAGGAGGTGAAGCAGGGAGTCTTCCAAAGTGAACTGAAGTAGGAAGTCTTTATAGAGAGCTGACGGCAGACTATATATCATAATACGATCACCTTTATAGGAAAACTTAGAGGACAAATTTATTGACTCCACCATGAACGATTTTATAGACGAACTGTAGCTGGGAGACTTTATAGACGAACTGAAGCTAGGATTATTCTTTATAGACTAGCTGAAGTAGAGTGTTTTTATAGATGAGCAAAAGTCGGAAGAATTTAAAGAGGTGAACTAGGGATACTTTATAGACGAGCACAAGCAGGGATAATGCACAGATGGGGCGAATGTGGTCTTTGTACGTGGTCTGAACGAAGCACTATACAAACTGTTCTAGATTCGAAATTTGTTTTTTATTGAAAAATCATCTGAGCCGATTTTACCCCTGTAAAAAATCGGTCTCAGACTTTAATTATACCCTAAACAACTATGCTGTCAGGTTATTATAGCTTTGAGCTGTCCCAAGAGTGTGTAACGCCGCGAAATAGACCCACCTTTAAGTATACCTATCGTCATAACTCGACTTGCTCAGTCGATCTAGACATGTGTGTCTGTCCATTTTGTAAATACAATACAGGTCACAGTAATGGACCAATCTTCACAAAATTTTGCATGTAGGATGGGTTCTAACCAATGAAGACCCCTATTGTGTTTGGTAATGATCGGTTAATATTTTGGGGATGAAACGGACCAAAAGTTTAATTTTTGTTTTCTGACCGCTCCAGAGGCCGCAATTATGGCCCAACAATTTTTACATGGAGAAGAATATCGGGCCAAAGAATAAATATGCCTGTTTGACCGATCATTAGGTCAATATTTAGCGGGTCAAACGGACCTTTACTTTTGTGTGAATTATGATAACATTTGTATTCTATAGCGTATATATTTACCCCTGAAGTACATAGACCCGAGGTAGTATATACAAGAGGAGTGGTTGACTTTTAAATTGATACCGATTATATTGTCGTATGCAGGGACGGTCGCAGGGGGCGGCCCCGGGGGGACGCCCCACAACCGACCCTATAATGTATATATGTTCTTGATCAGCGTAAAATTCTTTGACGATCTAAGCATGTCCGTCTGTCTGTCCGTCTGTTGTAATCACTCTAGCGTCTAAACGAGTTGAGATAGATCGCCAAAATTTTGCACAGAGTCGTCTTTTGTCTGCAGGCAGGTCAAGTTCGAAGATGGGATATATCGGTCCACGTTTAGGCATAGCTCCCATATAAGGGTACCTCCAATTTTGCGGTATTTTGGGGGGTTTGATCGCATTTTTCGACCGAATTCGCTGAAATTCGGTACTTTGATTCTTATTGAGTAGCAAATCTCTATACTAAAAATTATAGATATAGGTCATTTTTATCGGGTAGCCCCCATATAAGGGTACCCCCCAATTTTCGGTATTTTAGGGTTATTGAGCGCGGTTTTCATCCGAATTCGCTGAAATTTGGTACATTGGGTTCTTATTGGGTACCAAATGTCTCCCCTAAAAATTATAAATATAGGTCCACTTTTTCTGGTAGCCCCTATATAAGGGTACCTCCCAATTTCCAGTTTTTGAGGTGTTTTGACCGGATTTTTTCACCGAATTGGCTGTAATTTAGTAATTTGAGTTCTTATTGGATAGCAAATCTCTCCACAAAAAATTATAAACATAGGTAATTTTTTTCGGGTAGACCCCATATGAGGGTACCCGCAATTTTCGATATTTTGAGGTTCGTGAGCGCGTTTTTCAACCGAATTCGCTGAAATTTGATATTTTGTAGTCGTATATGGTAACAAATCTCCCCACCAAAAATTATTAATATTCACCTCTTTTTAGGGGTAGTCCCCATATAACCCCCTTTTTTATATTAAAATAGTTATCTGATTTGTTCCGTGTGTTGCGGTAGGGTAGTCGTTACAGGGAATAGTCAATTTTTACCCACAAAGACTATTTAGCCATCTGGTGTAAGCATTCCGCCTTCTAAAGATATTGTGATAAAAAAACTCAAATATGACGATAATGAAATATATCGGTAGACATTTATGCATCTCCTCAATATAGTAATACCTTCTGAAGGAAAGAATTGAGATAAACAATTAAAATATTGGGTTCAAAATTGGTATATACCGGTCATTAATAAGGCATAGCCCTCATATAATGATATCCCCAAATATTCTCTATTTCCTACACTATGTAATCAATATTGGCCCCCCTTTAGGCATACCCTTTGTAATCTAAATTACAGTAGTTTGAGGATTTTATACTCTACCATGCGTTATCAGTATCAGTCCACTTTTTGGATCTTACATATTTTAGGAAAAACCCCATTGGAAATTGCTGAAGTTTGTATTTGGTGTACATAATGGTTTACATAAATCGGTTTGTAGAATTATCAGTATATGCCTCCTTTTTGGTATCTTCCCTACATTTTCATTGCATGTATCTGTCAGTATTACTATGGTGGAGGGTATCCAAAGTTCGGCCCGGCCGAACTTAACGCTTTTTCACTTGTTATTATTATTATTGAAAACAGTAAATTTGTCAAGCCGTTTTGAAATCACGAGGAGCTATAGCTCCTACCATGTTTATTATTGAAAATGGCTTCCATATAATAGTACCCTCAAAATTTCGGTATTTTGAAGATTTATAAATGTAACGCCCATCAATTTTCACTTTAAGTATTTTTATGGTCCTAGGCGTATTTTGGAATTAAAGAAACTGTTTCAAAAATCCATTCCACATCCGCCCTAGCAACAGATTTTATTTTTTAGACACAAATTGGGATTCATGCATGACTTTTTCTATAGAAAGTTAGGTATCTTGCCCTAATTTTTCACATGAACCCGAACGAGAAACCCGCAGAGCGTCCAAAACAAAGACAAAAATACACTTTTTGGTGCAGTACGTGGCACTATAAAATGAAAATTTGCATTTAATCTTATCTTCTTATACTTTATACAGATTTTTTAATTCAATATTCAAAACATTTTTTCAAAGTTCATAATCAGATATCAACAAAATTTCCAAAAGAAACAATTTCAACAAAATCATTCCACATTAGTACATTTTCCCGGAGCACCACCGAAAATGCATTCCAAACTTAAGTACATGAAATCTTCATGATTGCCATTCACACTGTGCTCCTTGTGACTTCCCAAACACTCACGGACCAATTCCAAAGCACATTCTAAATGTAAACTACGATATATACTATATGCTATACGTTCCGGGTCAAGATCCGTCTCAGATGTATAAACATTTTGGCCATTGGCCACACACAACAAAAGGGGTTTCATATTTGGATCATCGACGAGTTTGAAGTTACGGATTTCAGTTTTAGCTTCATCACTAATCGGATATTGTTGCATGCATTGCTTTTCGATTTCGGTAGGATTTTCAGGATACCAATCGGGGATGTTGCCTAACACCTAAAGGGAATATTATTTAATAAAATATAAAATAATTTTATTGTAATTTAACTACGTACCCCAGTCGAGAACAGTACGACAAATATTATAATGTTATGCATTGTTGCTTCAGATAGTTGCTGAACTTGAACTGTATGCTTTGTTTGAAATAAGTTGGATGTTTTATAGTCAGTAAATAGTTTTAACATTTAATTAAATTTAATGTCATAATTGTTTCAAAATAATACTTAATTCGAATATAATTTAGAAAAAATTAACATGAGTTGGCATGAAGTATGTATAACTGTTACAGATTTAATATTCAATTAAAAAGTGTTATGAAATATTAATATTAAAATAATTAGCAAGCATTTAAAACCCTTTTTTAACAACAACTTAAATTTGTTGATTTTATATATTGTTGTTTTCCAACATAAAATATTTAATATTTATATATACTACTTATTGAATTTTATTTGATTATCAGCGAGAACTTTTGAATTCATCTGCAATGCAATTTTTGGTCTAAAAGACAAACAATGTTTTTTTTTTTTTTGCTCATCTCATCCAATTTGAAAGAACACGTTTCGATCTTTCCATCAAATTCGTAGCCTTCCTCCTTCTACGTGAACCATCAGTTAGCTCGCTTTTATATGCCTTTTGAACTGGGGCATCCTCATCCATTCTCACAACATGACATTGCCAACGTAGTCGCTGGTGCTCGATACGTCTGACAATGTCGATGCCTGAAAATATATGGTTCATTTGCCGGCGATATTCACCTTCGACGCAGATCGGCCAATAGATCTTTCGGAGAATTTTCCACTCAAACATTCCAATAACTGCCTCATCTGCTTGCGTATGTACCCATGCTTCTAATCCATACACCAGCAGTGGTCCTTTCCGACTTTAACTGCAGACCTTGTGCCAGTTAAAGTTATACTGCATATCCATATTAATTTTGCAGAAATACCTGACGCAGACATGGCTTTAAACACTTTTGAGCAGCAGGTCTGTAGAATGATGTCGAAAAATAGTTGGAATGTGTCGATGTGTTTTTCACCTTTTCTGAATCCTCGTTTGGTATTAAAAGACTCTGAGTGGTCCTTTGGAATTGAACTTCTGACCTTGTGCCAGTTAAAGTTATCCTGCATAGCCGTATTAATTTTGCAGGAATGCCAAACGCAGACATGGCCTTAAACACTTCTGAGCAGCAGGTCTGTCGAATGCAGTATTATAGTCGACGAAAAGGTGGAATGTGTCGGTGTGTTTTTCGTGGGTCTTTTCTATCAGTTGGCGTTATAGTAGATTTGCCAGGTCTGAAGACACATTGATACGATCCAATAATAGCGTAGATCATTGGCTTTAGTCGTTCATACAGCACGCTGGATAGCAATTTATATCCGATGCGAATTCCTCTACAGTTGGCACATATCGTCTTGTCTCATTTTCTTTTTTTTTGTGCACGGAACACAGGATGCTAAGGTATATATCATTGAGCATGCATTCCTCTCGCCAAATTGTACTAATCAGTTGGTGTATGCTCCTGATGAACGTTTGACTACCGGCCTTGAATAGTTCGGCTCGTAATCCGTCGGCACCTGCTGCTTTATTATTCATCTCTTAATTGTTCTGGAGTATCTTCTTCGCCGCCTCTATTTGATACCATAAGCTTTGCAAAATACTCCTTCCAGATCCTCAACACGCTGTCTGTATCTGTAACCAAGCTGCATTTTTTCACATCACTCCTGATCATACCATGGGTTTCTTGATGGTTCAAGTGCTGCTTTTGTTGCAGTTTGTAGGGACTGGGCAAGTCTTTGCCATTGTGCTTCTATATTAGTATCGGGACAAGAAGGGCTTTCATCAAGCAGGCGAGTAAGTTTTGCGGAGTAGGCTACTGCTACCTGTTGTGCTTGCATCTTCCGTGTTGTCGAGTTTCCGTGTTGTGTTAGATCGCACCTTAGCTGCTACATTAAGACGAGTGCGAATCTTGGCTCCTCGGATCAATCGAACGTCTAAAACACTGGATGAATGCCTTCCGTCTATCGCAACATTATCAATTGTATTTGTCGTTGTTTGATCGGAAGAAATTCATGAGTCCTGAATCTGTTTCTGCTAACTGTCATGTTTTTTGCAGCCGCGAAGTCAATCAACCACATGCCGTTGTCGGATGTTTCATCATGGAGGCTGAATTCTCCGATGGTGGGACCAAAATATTATCCTTTCCGATTTTTGCATTAAAATCTCTTAGCAGAATTTTATGGGCATGACCAGGACAGCGGTCATATGCTGTTTCTTGGAGCTCGTAAATTATGTCTTTGATCTGTTAATCTTTGTCTTCCATCGGAGCATTATCGGTTTTGTACTTTTTGAGTATATTCGCTAAAGCGTCTATTCTGTACAACGCGCGCACATTCCAAGTGCAGATTCTCAATTCGTGGTCCATTTTACGTTTGCGGGGGCGTCAACATTCGGGGTGTTTGGTTCCCTTTTTCTTTACTTTTTCATAGAGGTGGGGTTTTTAGAATGTGGGCTACTAACCCAGCGCCTCAACCGATTTTTTATAGTTATTATGGGTGAAGTCGCGGCACTTCAACGGGTGAAGTCTCACTATTTCAACGGGTGATGAAAGTAGCTACGCCTGGTGACAGCGCGGGGAGGTCAGTGTCAAAAATTGAGATGAAAGAGGGATCAATATCAGCCAGGGATTTGCCATTTAAAAGTCAATCAGATCCGTTGCTTGGTATCTATCATCCCCTACGTCACCCGCTAAACTAACACATTCATGTTTATGTTGACAACTGATGTTCTTCGGCAGTGGGTGGGTCCTTGTGACTGCATCTGCGTACAAGTTTTTCATACCATCAGCCGCAAATTTTTTGCACAATCGTAATATTGTTTCCAAACCAATATCATGTTCGAAATGGGCCCTAGGTTTATAATTGTAAATCGTCGAAATGTGGAAATTTAGACCCTAAGCCCGTCTGTTTTTACCACACAAAGTGTTAAGATGTGGAAAAATAAATCTCATTTGAAGGTAATTGAGTATCCGAATATATTTCGAAACAATTCAATCCACCTCAGATAACTGTGGCGGCAGGTATCAGCCGGATGTCCTCAGTCAGACCTTCTGAAGGCAGAGAAGTTTTGAAAACCGAAATATGTCTGGTGTCGGAACACTATTTGTTTTAAGAGTGCATGTGAAGGATTTTAGTCACACCCTATTTTTAGACTATTTCTAGAAAAGTTGGTCCAATAGCTGCTCAGGGTTTCCTCGTAAAAAATAAAACAGCTAATGGCCAATTCAATATACAAATAAAAAATCTACTAAAAACTTCTTTCTCGAATATATCAAATTTATTATTTCATCGTTTAATTCTCTTCAACTTTCTTACAATTTTCTTCAGCACCAGCCACAGTACATTTCATGATGGTGAACATTTTGGCATCGTCTGGTGTCACATCCTTGCCTTTCTCGGCACAGCCTTCAATAAACTCTGGCTTACAATCCAATTTAGCTCTTTCTTTCAAGACAACCAATAGACGATCCGGTTTAAAGCCCGTTTCGGTACTGAAAATATTTTTCTTTTCGGCCAAGCAAAGGAAGAAATTGCGTGTGTCGTGGTTATCTTCAATATTATTCGACCAGATTTGTTTTGCAGTTTCGTCGCTAATGGAATTGTCTTCACGACATTTGGCTTCAATGGCTGCTTCATCTTCGGGATACCAATCGGGACGATCAGCAAAAACCTAAGTTTTTTTTTTTGTATTATTTGTAATTGTTGATAATTTTTTTTTTTCGTAAACTTACCATTGCCGAGCAGCAAATCAATAATATGAAACTTAATTTATTCATTTTTATTACGTTTTCGTTTTTTTGATTTGTAGTAAATTCCACGGAGATCAAAAGGAAACTAATACCTCCTTGCAAATTGCATTTCCATTATATAGAAAATTCCTTATCACAAACTAATGCAGTGACATCTACTTTTACATCTGTTGTTCTAGTGTAATCCAAACTTAATTGAGCCGATTAGTCTTTTGTTTTGAAATAATTAAATTTTATTATCAGTTGTTATACAATTGTTGTAATTGGCCCTGCTAAACTTTAACCCCTTGGATTTGAGATAATGTTTATTACACTGATATGTTTGTGGGGTATATTAAAAAACAGCACCAGATGTTGGATGCTGATTAAAGTGACAGTTAACAAATTTGCCAAATTTGAGTCACTTCGGTTGAAAATATGCCGAATATTGAGTGAATTTTGAATTTGACCTCATGTCATTTGTAAACCGTGGCCCACAATGTTATAAAATGTTACTGGTGTAAAGTTCAAAGTCCCCATATTTCAAATATATAATGTTATATATATATATATATATATATTGAGTGGATTGTAATGGATTCCTGGCCCTGGTAAAGACTTCAAGAATGAACCAATTAGTGCCCAATAGAAATTGAGAAGTTTACAATATTCCGATCCATTCGGACTTGTATTGGCAACAGTTTTTGGATGTTGTTTTGTCGATAGACGGCCTTCGTAATGAAGGTATTAGACATGTGTTATGAGAAGACAATCTGAATATTCTTACACTGTATATCACTCCGCATAGTTGACTGTGTCGGAAGTCTTCGATCGTCAATTGTCATCGTAGATTGTCTCGGTCCGTGTATGGTACGGAATCCATGTTGATGTTGGACTATTGAATGTCATAGATTTGGGGACTAGTGCTCCAAATGTCTTTGATACTGGGTTGACAAAAGTGAAATCGGTCTGTACGGTTCACTCCATTTTTATATCCTTCACCACACTGTGGTACAGGGTATTATGTCTTTGTGCATAAGTTTGTAACAGGCAAAAATAATCGAGATAGACTAATGGTTCCTTTGAGAATATGTATAGAATCACTTTCTGAGTCGATTTATGCATGTCCGTCTGTCCGTCCATGTATTTTTGTTAACAAAGTACAGGTCGCATTTATGATCCGATTTGAATGAAATTTGGCACAGGTCACTTAATTGGCCCAAGGACGAACTCTATTGAAATTGGAGAAAGTCGGTCCACCTTTAGGCATAGCTTTTATATAGGGGTACCCCCAATTTTCGGTATTTTTGGGTTCTTGAACCAAATTCTTTTTATACCCTTCACCACACTGTGGTACAGGGTATTATGTCTTTGTGCATATGTTTGTAACAGGCAAAAGGAAACGAGATAGACACATGGTTCCTTTTGAGAATATGCATAGAATAACTTTTTAAATCGAATAATGCATATCCGTCTGTCCATCCGTCCATGTATGTATGTATTAACAAAGTACAGGTCGCATTTGTGATCATGATTATTTGGCCCAAGGACGAACCCTATTGAAATTGGGAAAAATCGGTTAAAATTTAGATATAGCTCCCATATATATTTTCGTCCGTCCGAAATGGTGCACCAAAGTCCCTATATATTCTTCGATTTCCACGAAATTTGGCATAGGATTCTCAATTAAGCCTAAAACGATGTATGCCAAGTTTTATTGGAATCGGTTCAGATTTAGATATAGCTCCCATATATATTTTCGTCCGATTTTATGTAAATGGTGCATCATAGTCCCTATATATCCTTCTATTTGCAAGAAATTTGGATTTATAAGTAAATGAAGAACTCAAAATGTGGCCGAACATGTGACAGGTTTCGATGAAATCGGTTTAGATTTCGATATTTTGCTTTTAATTTATTTACATAATTTTGTCCCATTGTAAGAAGGTTGCAGAATGACATGTTTAATTTGATGTTAATGGTCCTTCAAAAATGCGACATCTGTTAGGATCCCATCTATTGAATATACCCAAAGTGGTGAAGGGTATCTTATAGTCGGCCCCGTCCGACTTTACTACTTTCCTTACTGTTTTTTTTTTTTTTTGAGCTTGTCCAGTTTAAAGCTAAAATAAAATTTGTTCGGTATTTTAAGGAGTGTGAGATAATTTTCACTAAAAAACTGTAGTAAACCGTGCAATGAAAAAAACCAATAGCCTCCATGTAACCGCCCACATTTCAATTTTAACCGAATTGGCTATATTCGAAATTTTAGCTTTTTTTTTAAATATTTTCCAAGTCTTATAGAGTTTTCCTCATGGTGGAGGTATGTTTCTTATGTCCTGTTTTTTTTTTAATAGGAATCTGGCAACCCTAGATGGCATAAATGAAATTTAGTAGCGGCACAATCATAATTTCCCAAATTTGATACCATACATATCCATAACTACCTAACTCAGCAATCCAACAGAAATCATGTTTCCCAATTTCAGAATTTCAGCTTTATTGGTTCACCAATTCCTAATTGTACTAAATTTAGTATCATTTATACACATTAGTACGGATTTCCAAAACGATATATATCATACAAAAAATTGAAACCTTACTTCCCAATGTCAATGTTTCAGGCCTATCAGTTCACCCAAAATGCAAATTGTACCAAATTTATTACTTTTAGTACACATAAGTACAAATTTCCATAACTAAATTTTGTCCAAGTCCAAGTACTATTTAGTTCACATTAGAACGAATTTCTAAAACATCCACAAACCTACACTTCAATATTAATCTTAATTTGAAATATTATGATTCGAACTCTATAGGTTCACCCAAATCAAATTTCAGTTTTCCAGCTCTATCGGTTCATCGAAATCAAAATTGTACAAAATATAGTAATATTTAGTACTTTTCGTAAACATAAGTACAAATTCCAGAAAATACCTCCATTCCCAATCCTACGAGGGCAGTTCGGAAACTTCTTAGCCCAGCACTAAACGCGCGGTATAAACAGAAAAAAATTAAGTGTTTGGGAAACGTCCACCTTTGTTATGAACATATCGCGATATGTTAAATTATGAGCGATATGTTCGATCTGGCAACTCTTTCATATAGAAACAGGTGTTCAAAAAGACGCATCCGCAATTTTTTTTACAATGGAAAAATTAGAAATGCGTGCTGTCATTAAATATTTACATAAAACAGGGACAAGAAATTCATAATGAATGATTTTGGTGAAAGTATTCCTTCCTATCCAACAGTAACCACTAAGGAAAGTAGTAAATTCGGACTGGGTCGACTATATGATACCCTCCACCACTTTGGGTATATTCAACATATGTCTCCTAACAGACTCCGCCTTTCCAAAGAACATTGGCATGAAATTGAACGAACTTGATTATGATCTGGAACCTATGCTAAATTTCATTTCAATGAACCGATTTTTACCGACGAAATATATATGAGAGTTATATATAATTCTGGAACGATTTTCACGAAGCTTATCGCACATCATTCTGCGCTATGCCAAATTTCGTGCAAATCGAAAGATATATATGGACTTCGGTGCACCATTTGCCTAAAATCGGACGAAAATATACATGGGAGCTATATCTAAATCAGGACCGATTTTCACGAAACTTTGCACACATCTTTCAAGACTCAATTCAGTACGCTATGCCAAATTTCGTGCAAATCTAATGATATATAGGGACATTGATGCACCATTTACATAAAATCGGACGAAAATATATTTATGGGAGCTATATCTATATCTGCACCGATTTTCATGAAACTTTGCACACATCATTCTAGACTCAATTCAGTAAGCTATGCCAAATTTCGTGTAAATAGAAAGATATATAGGGTCTTTGGTGCACCATTTACATAAAATCGGACGAAAATATATATGGGAGCTATATCTGCACCGATTTTCACGAAACTTTGCACATAACATTCTAGATTCTATTCAGTACACTATGCCAAATCTCGTGTAAATCGAAGGATATATAGGGACATTGATGCACCATTTACATGAAATCGGACGAAAATATATATGGGAGCTATATCTAAATCTGGGCCGATTTTCCCCAATTTCAATAGGGTTCGTCCTTGGGCCAATCAAATGAGCTGTACCAAATTTCATCCAAATCAGATTATAAATGCGTCCTGTTCTGTTCTATGATTTGTGTCGCATTTCTAAACAGTCGATCAAAAACGCATAAGAATGAACATTTCTTAAGCTTCTTGGGATCGTTTTAAGGGATGAGTTCTTGAGATTTTCACTTGAAATTTTATAGGGACATTCTTGAATTAGTTTAGATTCGAATTAAATCAAAGAAATGTTTGACCCCGAGAATGGGGGGGTCCCCTTAAGCGAAATAAAATTGATTTTAAGCGTCGTTTCATTACTGTTGATGAGATATGGATCCACCACTATACTCCAGAGACAAAATAACAACCCAAACAATGGACTGAAGCTGGTATGGTTATGGCAACGGGTTTTTGGGATTTCAAAGGTATTTTATTGACTATCTGCAAAATGTACAAATTTGAGAAAACACAAAAAAAAATATTTTTTCATCAAGACAACGCACCAGAGCACAAGAATGGCTAAAATTATTCGCCTGATTTAGCACACAGTGACTTTAACTTGTTCCCAAATCTAAAAAAATCTTTGCTGGCAAGCGTTTTACCTCAAATAAAGTTGTAAATCACTATTTTGAAGACCTTCAGGAAAACTATTTTCATCAAGGAATAGAATTGCTAGAAAAGCGTTGGACTAAGTGTATTAAAGTTTCAGGAAAAATAAAAATATTTTTGAAAAACTAACTATTCTCTTTCATTGATAGGCTAAGAAGTTTCCGAACCGCCCACGTACACTTTGATGTCAATTTCAAATTTCAGGATTCCACCTCCATTCGTCCCTTTCAAATTGTACCAAATTTCTTACCCTTTTGTAATTTTCGTATACATAAGTACACACTTCCTAAACAACCTCCTTATATCGGCCGTACTTCACAACCTTGATTCGCATTTCAAATTTCTATGCTACGAAATTGTAACAAATTTAGTACATGTAGGATACTTTTAGTTTGAATTTTTAAAAACCGTTTGGGACATATATCCTACACTCGGTGATCCTCATTTCAAATTTAAGATCTCTCTTTAGTACTTTTCGTGCCGTTCTAGTACGAATTCCTACAAAAATTGATGTCAGCCTCCAAAACTCTAATCAAATCAGTGCTTTTTGGTCCGTACAAAATGTGGAATTGATGGGTCCTCCGCCATACAACCCAAACTTGAGACCTATAACTTATTTTATGATCACCTCGGTTTAAGCTCATCAAGAAGAATGATTTTCGTTTGCAGAAGATGCTGCTTAATCGTTCAAAAACCCATTCAATTGGAATGGAAAAAGTTAATCTACAATTGGTTTGAGCACATAAAATATATAAGAGATACTGGAGAATACATTGAACAACAATAAAACCAGTGTTGATGATAAATATTAGAACAGAAATAAATACATACATTAGACCTCATATACAGATGTCAAAAGTCTAACAATTCTAATTGCAACAGTTGCCTAACAACTGATAGCCTACTTTATAACTGCCAGACAAAAGACTTAACGGCCCAATTCCAATTGGTTTGCACTCCAAGAGCCCATGTCTTGTGATGATAAGAATTCACTATAAAAAGCAAATTTTCTTAGTAGGATATGATTAGTTTTCTTTCAATCTTTGTGGTTATTACAACAATAAAAGAGAATCCAGAATGAATAAACTAAGTCTTGTATTATTGATTTGCTGTTCGGTGGCGGTAAGTAAATAATAATTCTAAGATAATATAAATATTAATGATAATTATTGTTCTTAGATCCTTGCCGATCGCCCCGATTGGTATCCTGAAAATGAAACCGAAATTGAAATGAAATGTCAGGAGGAAAATTCAATTAGCACCGAAACAATGAACGACATTTGGGCTTATAAATTTGACGACACTCCAGAAATTCGTAAACTTATGCTTTGCTTAGTCGAACGTAAAAATATTTACAATAAGGAAATGGGCTTTAAAGCTGATCGTTTACAAATTGCATTGACATCGAGAATTAAAATGGATTGTAAATTGGAATTTGTTGAAAAATGTGGTAAGGAAGCAAAAGATATAACTCCAGCTGATGCCATGATCTTTAGTATAATGAAATGTATTGTCGCCGGCATGGATGAAAATTGTAAGAAAGTTGAATAGATTTTCGTAGAAGAGATATTTTTTGAAATAAAATGTGATTATTATTGATGATAAAAATTATGTGTTGTTTTTATTAAATGCTTTCTGGTCTCTCATAAGTAAGTATTATCGTATATCGATGTATGTTTGTAATGAAACAACATTTCCTAGTTCCAACAACCATGAATATATTCTTGTCGGACATGAGAGGCCACACTATCAAACAAGGAAAATTAAGGCAAGACTAAGGCATTAAAAAGTTGCCTTTAAACCTGCAATGGACAAACATGACAAGGAGGATAAACTATACATCTTATTCGTGGCCTTCCCCTTCTGCGTGCACAATCAGCTGGTTCGCTTTTATATGCCTTCTGGGCTGGGGCATCTTCATCCATTCTCACAACATGACCTAGCCAACGTAGTCGCTGCAGCTCAATACGTCTAACAATGTCGATGTCCGAGAATAGCTGGAACAACTCATAGTTTATTCGACGGCGATATTCACCGTCAACGCAGATCGGCCCATAGACCTTTCGGATAATTTTTCTCTCAAACAATGCAAGAGCTGCCTCATCTGCTTGGGTAAGTACCCACGCTTCAGATCCATACAATATTACGGGTAGTATCAGCGACTTGTAGTGTGTGAGTTTGGTCTGGCGGGAGGTGGCCTTGCTTTTGAGTTGCTTACTCAGACCATAGTAGCATCTGTTGGCCAACACTATCCTTCTCCGAATTTCAAAACTGATGTCATTCGTTTTATTTATGGCGGTCTTGCGCGCTGATACCATCAGCATGGTCTTATCGCTTTTTACTGCCAGACCCACTTTGGCAGACTCCTTCTCAATTTGTTCAAAGGTGGCTGTTACCGATGTCATCGGCGTAGGCGAGTAACATGTGTTGTTTGGTGTATAGAGTGTCATTTCTGTTCACCTTTGCCTCTCGTATGACCTTTTCCAGCAGGATGTTAAAAAGGTCACACGACAAACTGTCACCTTGTCTGAATCATTGTTCGGTATTGAAGGGCTCTGAGAGGTCCTTTCCGACCTTAACTGCTGATCTTATACCAGTTAAATTTATCCTGCATAACCGAATTAATTTTGCAGGAATACCAAACGCAGACAATGCTTAAACACCTCTGAACGGATAGGGCTATCGAATGAGGTTTTATAGTCAACAAATAGGTGGAATGTGTCGATGTATTTTTCGTGGGTTTTTTCCAGGATTTGGCGCAGAGTGAAAATCTGGTCAATGGTGGACTTGCCAGGTCTGAAGCCGCATGGTATGGTCCAATAATGTCGTTGACCATTGGCTTCAGTCGTTCACACAGCACGCTGGATATCACTTTATATGCGATGGGAAGGAGACTTATTCCTCTATAGTTGGCACATATCGTCTTGTCTCCTTTTTTGTGCACGGGACACAGGATGCTGAGGTTCCAATCATAGGGTTCCTCTAGCCAAATTGTACTAATCAGCTCGTGCATGCTCCTTACCAGCATCTGACCACCAGGTTGAATAGTTCGGCTTTTAAACCATCTGCACCTGCTGCTTTATTATTCTTCAGCCAATTAAATACTATTCTGACCTCATCTTGGCTAGGTGGTATACACTCTATGCCGACATCTATTATTGGTTCTGGGGTATCTTCTTCAACGCTACTATTTGATACCAGAAGTTTTTAAAAGGTTTGGGCTTCGCCATGAGCCGTTGCTTGGTATCTATCATCCCCTACGTCTCCCTGAAGATACTAGAGAAAGCTAAACTCTTGCATTATTAAGCATTCTTTCAATGAAGAGAAGATGCTAATACCTCGAAGCGAAAGAAAAATTCCGACATTTTTTGGTTAGGTCGTTATAGTCAACTCGATTTATTCCCTTATTAATCTCATAAAAGGTCGGTTATCACTCGTTCCGCCACAGAATGTGACAGAGTTGGATCTATATTGAACATATGCCTGAAAACAATTCAGCATCGAGATGCAGCAAGCAAAAAAAGTATTTCAAAAAATACTTTTTATCATGTCAATGGTAAATGTGATGGTAAATGATTTTTGCGATCATGATCATGTCAATGGTAAATGTTGGCGACTGAAATTCGTAGAGTTTATTGCGGGGACAAATAAGAGGTTTTCGAATCGTTCTAATTATCTCAGCTCCCATATATCACAACACAAACTTGTTCCTTTTTATCTCAGTATTCTGTGTAAAAGACCACGAAAAATAGAGAAGGTTGGTATTGATGTTCATTAGACCAGATTCTAAACATGGGAACGAACATCTGAAGTAATCTTTACATAACACGCTAACCTTTTCTAATCGATGTGCATAAACATACATTTTATCATTGATCTAGGACGTAGGGATCCCATGAGAACAAGGTAAAATATTTAAGAAACATAAGGCAATATACCTTATGTCTACGATCAAAAATGTGCTTAATCGAAATAACAGAAGCAGACCACAAGTTTCATAGAATCAAACCCATTATAAGTATTTTGAAGTTGAATGACTAATTCGACTTATTCTATTTGGCAGCGCGGGCGATGGCTCTCGATGAGAGTAACCGATTTTATCACAATCTTGCACATCACAATATTTTTGTGATCATGAACATTATTGGATCACTCCTTCCATTAGCTCCCCTGATGACAGAATATTTTTAAAGTAGATCTATGTTTGCACACATTTCCCATATAAGGTCCCGACCGATTTTTTGGTATTTTGAATGACCTATCATCCTATCCTATTTTTAGAGGGCAACAAATGAACAAATTTTAAATATATGGATTTGTTTTCACTAGTCTCATATTATGCTCTCCCAGCCTGAAGTATTGTGGAGATCCTAATAGGATTTTATAGCCTATGTGGCTGTAATTTGTTTTTCGTCCGTTTTTTTTTTCTATTTTTGGCAATTTTTAAAACATTAGCCCCATTTTTTAACCGACGTGACTGTAATTTGGAATTTCAGGTTCCCAAAAGTAACAGAAATTGCACACACTTTTACCTATTATGAAGGTCCTGACCGTATTTTTTAACCCTAGTTTTTTTATATTTTTTAATGAAGACCTATTCAGAAGACAACACTCGTATATCCTGTTTGGCAAGGTGTCATATAATTATACTCTACAACACTATGTTGTCAGGGTATTATAGCTTTATCTCATGTCTCGACTTGTTGAGTCGATCTATACATGTGTGTCCGTCTGTCCATTATAATTTGTTATGGATTAATCTTCACGAAATTTTGCATGTAGAACCGGTTCTGGCCAAAGAAGACCCCAATCGTTGTTGTTAATGATCGATTAAAATTAGGTTGAAGGAAAAGAAAAAATTATTTCTATTACGAACTATAGGACATTATTTTTCATGCTTCGGAATGCCTAATTTGGGCCAAATATGCCAAGTTCGGACTGTATGACGGATGCATTAAAACTTCCCAACTAAGATGTGTGAGGCCTACCAGTTTGGTAGAGAACAGAAGTTAGAGTTTCCAGTCCCACAAAAAAAAAAAAAAAATAGCAAAACTTTCCTGGCCGTTAGTCCTGGTTTGGCCACCGTTTTAGGTGCTTCACCGCTCATTGACCACGATCGTTTTCACACAGGGTTATCGTATGTGATCCATTTCTCATCTCCAGTCACCATCCGTTTAAGAAATGGTTTTATCTCATTCCGTTTTGGCCAAGGCTTCGCAGATGTAAATTCGATCCATCCTATTTGTTTATGTTAAATCGTGTGACACCCAAACATCGAGCTTTTTTTGAATCCAGATTTGTGTAAATGGTTTAAAACAGTTTTATTGACGATTTCTAGCTCCTAGACGATGTAACGGCTGTTAACATGCCGTTCAACTTCGATCATTTTTGCCATTTTCGACCACCGGCCTAATGGATTTCTATTTCCCCAACCTAATAGGGTGGGGGTATATATCTGTCGGCAACACCGACTGATAATTATACCCTTCACACACTGTGGTACAGGGTATTATGTCTTTGTACATATGTTTGTAACAGGCATAAGGAATCGAAATAGACCCATGGTTGCTTTTGAGAATATGCTAGACGATGTATCGACTTTTAACATGCCGGTCAACTTCGATCATTTCTGTCATTTTATCGACATTTTCGACCACCGGCCAAATGGATTTCTTTTTCCCCAACCTAATAGGGTGGGTGTATATATCTGTCGGCAACACCGACTGATAATTATACCCTTCACACACTGTGGTACAGGGTATTATGTCTTTTGTACATATGTTTGTAACAGGCATAAGGAATCGAAATAGACCCATGGTTGCTTTTGAGAATATGCATACTCGATTTACGTATGCCCATATATTTTTGTGAACAAAGTACAGGTCGTATTTATGATCCGATTTGGATGAAATTTGACACAGTTCACTTATTTGGCCCAAGGACAAACCCTATTGAAATTGGAGAAATTCGGTTGAAATTTATATATAGCTACCATATATAGTTTCGTCCGATTTTATGTGAATGATGCACCAAATTCCCAATATTTGTCCGATTTGGGCAAAATTTGGTCATAGTACTGAATTTGGTCCACATTGAAGTCTGCGAAGTTTTGTTAAAATCGGTTCAGATTTAGATATAGCTCCCATATATAGCTTCGTCCGATTTTTTGCGAATAATACACCAAACTCCCAATATATGTCCGATTGGACAAAATTTGGACAGAGTACTGAATTAGGTCCAGCCTGATGTCTGCGAAGTTTTGTTAAAAATCGGTTCAGATTTGGATAAAGCTCGAATGCAATTAAAAAAAATTATGTGTGATAAGGTTTGTTGAAATCGGTTCAGATTTTGATATAGGTCTTATATACATTTTGGTTCGATTTTATGTAAATGGTGCACCGAAGGAGCTATGTTTGTTTGATTTCCACGAAATTTGGCAGAGGGTATTAAATTAAATATAGAGTGATAGCAAAAAACAAATGGTGTGTGCAACGGTTGCTCAATTAGGTCGATGTGTTTATGTATAGCTTTCATACATAATTTTATTCGATTTCATACAAACGGTACACCAAAGAATCCAAGTCTGCCCGTTTGACATGCAATTTTTCGTTGATTTCAGAACGGTATGTATAATAAAATAATTCCGCCCGATTCCATCTCAATGGTCCCACAAAGATTCTATGTCTGTTCTATCTACAGGATATTGTAGATATTAACATCTATTGCATGTACCCAAAGTTGTGAAGGGTACCATATAGTCGGCACCGACCCACTTTCCTTACAGGTTTTTTACTTGTTATTCCTACGATTAACACTATTTGATATCATCTGATAACTAACGCTTTATGTGCCTTATTAATTGATATGGGAGACTGCTTCTATTGACGAAAATGCGATAGAAATAGCAATTTTGAGACGTCAACGTCCGCTGTTAGAAAATATAGCTTTAATAGTTAAACATTAAGTCGGGTATTAAAACAAAATAGAACCTTTAGACGATCTGAATTCCAACAAGACTGATAGCAATGATAATTACCAGGCTATGCCCATGTGTGCCGAAAGTCGCCCATCAAATGTTATTTCGGGGAATTTAACTTCTTTTGTAAAACTGTAAAATTTTTTACAGTTTTACAAAATAAAATTTATTTATATATCTGTTGAATAATTACTGAGATATAGAAGTTTAAACAAAAAGTGCCGAATCTGCCCAAGTCTCTCCTATATATAAAAATTTGCAAAATCTTTCCATTGACATTTTAGAAAATTAAAAAAAAATTATTATAAATTAATATATATTTTGTCTAAATATTTGTTTTATTGCAAATTGCCAAAAAATAATATTATACGAAATTGCATCACCATCACCGATTTGACTTATGTCAAGTTTAATTTTAATACGTCCTGATAAGCATTTCTATAAAAACACCATAAAATATTCCATTGCATGGCAGTGATCGATTTCAACAACGTTCCGCAAGATGTTTAAAATTGTTGCTTTAATTTGTTTGATTTCCTTGGTAAGTAAAAAAATTAAGACTGATTTGTTTTAAATTTTAGGAAATGTATCCAATGTAGGTTGTGGCTGAACGTCCCGATTGGTATCCCGAAAATCCCAATGAAATTGAAGCGGAGTGTATGAAAAAATATAATGTGAGTGCTGAAACTGTGGCCAAGATACGTGCCATGCAACTAGAGGATACACCCGAGATCCGTTCTGTATTACTCTGCAGTGCCATTGGTAAAAATATCTATAGCCCTGAAGTTGGATTTATGCCAGAACGTTTTGTAGTTGGTTTGAAATATGGTCTAAATATGGATTGTAATGTGGACTTTATTCGTAATTGTGCTCAACAATATGGTGGTATTGAATCTCATGAGGAGAAGTATTTCAGCTTCTTTAAATGTATTTTCGCCAACATTAAGGAAAATTGCAAGAAAATTGAATGAATAAAAAAAATTGAGAAATAAAATATTTTTAAAAATAATTTGTTTTGATTGCTCATCTTTCGAGAAATTTGTACCGACAATAAATCAGGTAGCCTCTATATGTTATTTTTTATTCTTGAGTCTTTATCATCTGTTTTGTCGATTGTGGTAGAATGTTCATACCTAGGCTGATAACAAAAAGCATAGCTATGGATTTGAAATTATACCTCAACAACACCTAGTCTATATTTCAAAGTGATAAGTTCCACATTTAATGTTTACGAAATCATGCTTAAGATTCTCAGCATTGCCTTACTTTGTGTAACAGCGGTAAGCTCCATCATACTAATTCCCTTTTTTCCAAATATCATAATCGCAAATTTATTTTCTAGATTTTTGTACAAGACTTACCATGGTATCCAAAAAATTCGGATGAAATTGAAGCGAAATGTCGTGAACAGTACCCTGTTGAGAAGAGAATGATGGTCCAGGAAAATGGTCGCTGGAAATTGAAAAATAATCCAATGTTACGTTCCTATTTGATCTGTATGGGAATGAGTAAGAATTTGTATAGTCCGGAAATGGGATTCATTGGTGAACGTATTGCTTATGACATCGAACAGACATTTAAATATAAATGTCCTCTGGAATTGATTCAGGATTGTATTGATAATAATTATGAAGATTCATATTCGGAAGATGTGATTTATTTTAATATAATGAAATGTATTTTGGAAAATGCTCATGAAGAATGCGAACATGTTTGAAGATGAATAATAAAAAAGTAAATGAAAAATATTGTTTTTTCCTGAAACATTGATTGACTTCTTTGAAACAGAGGCTTGGTATATTTGTAATATAAAATAATCTTTAAAAAATTCACGCCTGTGATAGGCCTCAAAAAATAATCTTTAAAAAATCCACGCCTGTGATAGGCCTCAAAAAATAATATTTAAAAAATCCAAGCATGTGATAGGCCTCAAAAATAATCTTTAAAAAATCCACGCCTGTGATAGTACTCAAAAAATAATCTTTAAAAAATCCACGCCTGTGATAGGCCTCAAAAAATAATCTTTAAAAAATCCACGCCTGTGATAGGCCTAAAAAAATAATCTTTAAAAAATCCACGCCTGTGATAGGCCTCAAAAAATAATCTTTAAAAAATCCACGCCTGTGATAGGCCTCAAAAAATAATCTTTAAAAAATCCACGCCTGTGATAGGCCTCAAAAAATAATCTTTAAAAAATCCACGCCTGTGATAGGCCTCAAAAAATAATCTTTAAAAAATCCACGCCTGTGATAGGCCTCAAAAAAAAATCTTTAAAAAATCCACACCTGTGATAGACCTCAATAAAAATATTCTTTAAAAATATTCTTTAAAAAATCCACGCCTGTGATAGGCCTCAAAAAATAATCTTTAAAAAATCCACGACTGTGATAGGCCTCAAAAAATAATCTTTAAAAAATCCACGCCTGGGATAGGCCTCAAAAAAGATTCTTTAAAAAATCCACGCTTTTGATAGGCCTCAATAAAATATTTTTTAAAAAATCCACGCCTGTGATAGGCCTCAATAAAAATATTCTCTAAATATTCCAAATTTTGTTGCATAGTGTAATTTTACGTTTTTTGATAATGAGAGAATGAAAGTTTGGGAACCTCTGCCTGATCCAAACAAAACCACATATTAGTTGTATTTCAAGTTTTATTTCTATGTCGTCGTTGGTGTTTTTTTTCTTCACTTCTTGTTTCAGAAATAAACAATCGCCACAGACATGTGAGTGAATGAATGGCTTAAAACACCATGACCACAGCCCGTTGCCTGTTAGTCTATATTTGTATTCCAATAAAGTGTTAACTTCCAAACCACAAAATTCCGCACAATGACAAAGTGTGCATTTTTAATTTTCTGTGTCGCTATGATTGCGATGCACCATGTGTATGCTGAGATACTGGATTTGGGTAAAAGACCCAAATGGTATCCAAATGATGGTCCAGTTATTGAGACCGAATGTATGGAGGATTATTCCATAAGCCCTGATACTATTGCTGAAATAAAGAAATTCGAAATTAAAAATACTCCCGATGTTCGATCGTATTTGCTGTGTTATCTGAAGGAGGCGAATGTCTATCGCCCCGAAAAGGGACCCGAAATTAAACGTATTGCATGGTCTCTGAAAGAGATGTTCAACTTGAATAAATGTGATTTGGATATGATACGCGATTGTGTGGAGGAACATCAATCGGATGAACTGAAAGATTATGCCTATTTTAATATCATTAAATGTGCCTATGAAAAAGCTCCAGCTAGATGTTTGCAGAAAGGTGAAAAGAAGTGAACTTAGTTAAGATAATTTAAGTTATTTTTCGTTGTTAATTTATTCATTGCATTCTGGTTATACACAAATCGTATTTTGCTTTAAGCATATTCCAATGTACATACCTACATATAAAGGTTGACTGTATCAGTCATATAAACGATTAAATATAATAATGTATATAATATTGTAATGAAGTTATGAATGGTTCTGTTTATTTTGGGAAATGGATCCCTTTCATTATTTCAGTACGAAAAACTATAGCCATCTGAGAAGAATTGGACATAACAGACTGCTAGGAAGGTCATAGCGAAAAATATATATAATATGGGAGCTATATCTAACTCTAAACCGATTTTAACGAAACTTTATACACGTCATTATAGGTCGGTCCGGCATAAAATCGGTATAAAATATACATAGGAACAATCTATACTAATCTATTCTAATACAAGAGTAAAGTGTTTGACTGACTGACTGATTTAACGATTCATCAACGCCCAGACAAAACGGCTGAAGCTAGAATCTTGAAATTTTAGGTAAGGGTCACTACTTTTCGTCCAAAAGTGACAGATAAGGCTGGGTTTTTTGAAATTCGTACTAGAACGGTACAAAAAGTACTAAATGTGATACCATTTGTATGTGGCAACTAGAACTTTGAAATTTGGATTGAGGGTCATTGATGGCGTGTAAAATAGATGTATCATGGGGTTTTTGGACATTCGCACTAGAAGTATCCGAAAAGTACTAAAATGTACTAAATTTGGTACAATTTGAATTCATGTGAATGGATTGAGCTAAAGACTTGAAATTTGGAATACGAATTAAGGTTGAGAAGTAGGGTCGATTTATGGGGGTGGTTTTGAAATCGTGTACTCATGTATACGAAAAGTACTATATGGTACTATATTTGGTAAAATTACAAATGGAGCTGAAATTTTAAATTACAATTACCTCCGGAGAGTAAGTTTAGAATATGTACGTAGTTTACGAAATTTTTTACTTATGTGTAAGAAAAGTACTAAATCGTACTATAATTGGTACAATTTGAATTTCGGTGAACCAATAGAGCGGAAACAATGAAATTTGGAGTCAGAACCATTGTAGGGGTGTAGGATTAGGACCAGGATTCAGTTTAAGAAATTAATATTTATGGGTACTACGTGGTACCAAAATTTGGTACAATTTGAATTTTAGGTTAACCAGTAGAGTTAGAATCATGCAATTTGAAGTCAGGATCACTGTTGAGGTATAAGACTGAGATTTGTTCCAATGCGTACTAAATTTGGTATTGTGGGTGAAGCGATAGAGTTGAAATCATGCCATTTTTATTTAGGATCAATCTGGAGGTGTAGGATTGGGGTATATAGGAAGTTTTGAAAATTGGTACTACTGTGTACAAAACAACAACAACAACCGTTGCCCGTTGATATATAGCATATCCACATTAAATGAAACCTTTTACAAATTAAATGAACCCTTTTCCAAATTAAATGAAACCTTTTCCAAATTAAATGAAACCTTTTCTAAATTAAATGAAACCTTTTCCAATTGAAATGAAACCTTTTACAAATAGAATGAAACCTTTTCCAATTGAAATGAAACCTTTTACAAATAGAATGAAACTTTTTCCAAATTAAATGAAACCTTTATTCTTATCTAAGGAAATATAATATTTGCAGTAATTTTAAACCAATATTTGAAAATTAAATCAAAGAATATTAACAAATATAGTTGTATGGCTATGTAATTAACATAAATATTCTTTAATTCGGTGTGCTTTCATTTAATATCTTTACTACATAAAACTAAATAAATAGTAATACAAACTGGGGTATTTCTTGACACTTTAATAAATAAATATTTAAGAACAAGAATTGAATACCCGGCCCTAAATGCGAAATACATATTTGACTTAATAAATTGTTGATGATAAGGTAACTAACTGCTTATCTTAATGAAGGGGTTCCCGACTTGCAGCTTGTGGGATTTTCAAAACAATCTCCATAACGTAGTTAGAACAATCTTGCCGAGTAAGCTTTTGAATACTTCGCTCGATTACTACATACATACATACATGTCAGTCACACAGCTTTGGTTGTGGTGAAATATTAATGCCGCGGCGCCATCTATACGTCGTACATAGTTACGTAGTACACAGTTAGGGGTTGTGGCGTAGCTAACCATGTCTTCTGTTACCACCTGTCTGTCAGTACATTATGTTTCATAGTTAGTGTATTGGATAAGTAGCCAATCAGTACTTGTTCGCATTGCCAACCATATACGTTTAATTACAGTATCGTTCCGACAAATTGTCCGCGGCGTGCGGTCGGTCAAACAAACCAAAGCCACTACCGATGATGTTTGGCCATTTCAGAGGACCTTAACTGATCTGGCCCACCAACACGCACTCCAAATGAATGGCAGAGAGTGTGGATTCATTTTAAGGCAAAGTTGAAAGAGAAGAGGGCGCAAAATAAGAGAAACCATAACATCACCGTTGGACCATCGCAAGAAGTGTCGTTATCAGCATTGGAGCAGGCGGCAGCGGACCTGGATTTGACATTAAATCCAGAAGGTGCCCTTTTTGGGGTTATATCAGATACATTGGATGTGGAGGAACTGCTTGAAATCGAGCCAAACACTGACAAGGAACAGGAAAATGTAGTGAAACAAGTTAAGATGGGCAACGAATGCTTTTCCTATTTAGATATAAATGGTGAACATCTTCTTTTCGGGCCATGATATGTACGTGTGTGCCAATTATACATCCGACAACACCAGAGAACCGTGTTTTCGAATAAAACAATTTTTATTCTTCCCTTTTTCCTCCTCTGTTAATTTGGAAACAATCCAAATTTAATACAGTCTTTCCTCAATTAGCCGGACAAATTCGGTCAAAACCACCGACATCGTGGGTTGAGCCATGACAAGGATGAAGTATTTGCCATGGGACTTTTGAAAACCTCCCACCGCAAAAAACCTCAGAGCTGCACAAACTTTTAAGAGAAACCAGGATTTAATGCGTCAACTAAGTACACAACGGCATCTTTTGGTAGCCGAAAATACGCCTTAAAGCTAAAATAAGTTGAGTTGCCTTCCACAATCGACCCTTTAATTCAATATATATAGGATGGCCATCGTACTTATAGAATGGCCATTGTACTTATACCAGGGCAAATACTACTATATATTAGTTTTGGGGAAAAATAAATCCATTATTTTTATATGAACTATATGACTTTTTTAACATGCTTCGGAATGACCGATTTGGCCAAATATGCACGGTTTGGTGTATGATTTGTTGTCATTTTAAAGTTAACTTTTCATAATGCCTCTCTCATAAAAGTCCTGCTTTCTATTTGCAAAAAAATCTTGTAGTCTATTTTCACCATCCTCCCTAGATACCAATGTTTTATCATTAAAGAAATTTTGCAATGCAAGAAAAATATGTTGATCGTTTGGTCCCAAGTCCGGGATGTATGGTGGATGCATTAAAACTTCCCAACCAAGCTCCCGAAGGTTCTGGCGACTCACTGTAGATGTATGTGGCCCAGCGCTGTCCTGGTGGAACACGACACCTCTCCTGTCGGCCAGTTCTGGCCGTTTCTGGTCAATTTTAAATGACTTAAGGGAACCCCCCCCCCCCATTCTCAATTTTTTATTTTTAAGATTTTAAATGGGCTGGTAAATGAATACCAATGCTTGTTAAGGTTTGTAACTTCGCACATATATATTTGAAGATTTAAAAAAGAAGAAAAATAATTTACAAAAAATTGTTGTTGTTGTTTTGTTGTTGTTTTTTGTGATCAAAGAAAAGTCCTTATATTTGTTGGCGGGCATGATAACTCCTCACTGGAACATCGGAATCCGAAAATTCCAACGGTGTTAGAAAGAGTACTTGTCTGGCTCTCGTATGAACTAGGATTATTGACTTCGCTCTAAAATTAAGAAAATGGAATTAAGTCAACAAAAATTTTGACCCCGAGAATGGGGGGGTCCCCTTAAAGCAGTTTTAAGGTCGATTTTTAGCTCCTGGGCGATGTTACGATTGCTAACATGCCGGTCAACATCGATCATTTCTCCGATTTTATCGACATTTTCGACGACCGGCCTGCCTGTGCGAGGTGCACCTTTAGCATCAAAAATTCCTGAACGAAATCTACGAAACCAAAATTGCATATAATTGTCTGTTACAGTATCGGAACCATAAACACCATTCACAATTTTAGCCGCTTGGCTTGCGGCTAATTGATACCCTTCACCACTTTATGCACATACACGAGATGCTCAGATAGAATAGACATAGCATCTTTGGAGAACCATTGAAATTGAATCGAACAAAATTAACTGGGTGAAGTACATACATATTTGAACTAAATTAAAACAACCAATCTGACATATATGAAAAAGTGAATGTCAAACGTCGGGATTTCTACATTTGATTTGTTACGTTGTGCACTAATTCGTTAATTGGTTATTTGGTACATCATTTTGATGAAATCGGATGAAAATATATAAGGGAGCTATATCTAAATCTAAACGTCTCCATTTACATAAAATCGGACGAAACTATATATGGGAGCTATATATAAGGGTATAAAAATCAGCGTTTGACGAGTCTACTATGTCACAACCAAAATGACATTGTCCCTTTACTACAGACTCTAAGTATCGTTTTAAAGTTCATATCCTGTTTCAGTACAAAATACAAATATATTTTTCGATATATTCCTAGCTGACAGAGTATTTTTAATCAATAAAGGGATTATTTTCTTTTACAATGTTTTTTTTTCTAGCCTACATATTTAAATGCCTACATAGAAATCTGACGCTCTAATACGACATCAAAATACTTCCTCCTACACCTCCTTTCCATCAACATTTAATAGATTAAGTGGATCGATTAGTAACACCTGAAAAAAAAAATAATAAAAAAATCTCTGGATAACACAGTATCGATTATTGATAGCCGTATCAATTTGAGAAAATGAACAAATTGAAATTCATGACTACCGAAG